AAAAATTATTTTTAAAATTGTATATTTTTGGTTTATAAATAACTTAAATTTTTTTTCTTATAATCTAAAAATAAATACTACAAAAAAGTAATCTTTATTTTCAAATATTATTATACCAAATTTTATTTAAATATTTTAAATATTAAAAAAAATAAATCAGAGCTAATTTTATAGTATCTAAGCAGGCAAATTTGCCTGCTAAAGTCTACAAATTAAGGGATAAATAGTCGGTCAAATAAAATTTTTGATACGGGTGATACTAAAGAAAATCGAACTTCAATCATATAAAGTTATTCGATTCGTCAATTAACAGATCAACATATAATTTAATCGTTTGATATAATTAGGCTAATTAAATAATATAATATTAAAAACTTTAGTTAATTGATTTCTTATAACTAATTAATTTTTAATTCTTATTCTTACCTAAAGGTGCATCACGAGAAAATTCTAAACCTGGTACAAAAACATTTTGATCTGCATCCACTTATACCAGTTGATGATAGAGGAAACACTTTGTCCCCAAAAAATATAAGACAAAATGCCGTAAAAGAGATGTATCAGTTTTGCATTGCAAATTCGTTGCGGCTATTGTGGGCTTATCTCTGGACAAATTGGTACTCTCCTCAGCGATGGCACCTGTGGGCATGATCAGCCAAACTACCATTCCTTTTAGCAAAACTACGATGAAAATTGAAGGACATTGGGGTGTTATGAAGCTGTGTTACCTGCACTGCTTTAATAGACCTAGGCTAGATTTACTTCTCTGGACACTTTTAAAAGAAGTAATTCTGGCTCAAAAAGAACGGTTCTTTCAGATTTTGAGTGGTGCAGTGGAGCCGTGGTGGTGGGAGGGTTTTAAAAGAGAATGGAACTACGCTAGTACAAACGATGAACAACGAAAAGAAATGTGTAATAAGTTTAACAAAGGCAGGAGAAAATGGAATAACAATACAGAAACAGCAGACCAAATCGGATCATTCTTCACTGATACCACTCGCTGGGTTTGTAGCTATCCTGCCTTTGTTAGTAGTCGATTCCTATTATGTAAACACTTGGTCCGGAGAGTTGTAAATTTATCTAACGAAGTTCGTCGAAGGTTGATTAGAAGTAATTTTGAACATTATACTACACTGCCATTCCTTGTCATAAGGGATTTTATAAATGATGAAGCAACGTCTAGCACCTCGTCTGTCCTATTTGAAATGTCTGTTGAAAGTTTTGAAACTCATGATGCCAATAGTGTTTTCGGTAATGATGATCTTGAAAATCATGAAGATGATGCTCGCACTTTCGTTGAATCCAATTGGTCATTGTTTGAACAGGCATTCAAACGGGCTCGTATGGAAAAATTAGCTAATAATTGGAATTATATTCGGGCCGTTATGAAGTGTAGTAAGTTGTTGCAAATAGAAAAGGAAGTACAGGAAGTAGAGCGAAAGAAACATCGGCAATTGACTTGGGCCCCAGAGAATAGAAAGCCATATCTGATGTATCTATCATTTCCGGAAGAGGTGAATAATCATGAACCGGTCCTAGTAGAAAGCATAACAGTTGACCATGAGGATATAAATAATTAATGCAACTATAAAAACTATAACAATGTATTTAAATTTTTTATTGTAATTTACCTTTGAACCTTTGGGTTCAAAGATCTTATTGTATTTTATTTGACACTTATGTATTAATAACACTTTTACAAGTTCTGAAATTCTGAAAAAAAGAAATCAAGAAATAAATTAAATCAGTTTTGCTAATCGAACTAATATATCGAAACCTTTAAAAAAAAAAAATAAGAAGGTAAAAATTGTCGTGGTAAAAGACAATTTATTTCACGTAAACTGAATAAAGAAAAAAATTTTCTAACATCTATATTTGTACCAGATGATCAGATCAGAACGTATAACGTGAAGCGCTGCGGTGGGTGCTGCGGCAGTGGCGCGACTCATGTGACAGTAAATTTGATGGCCGCCCTGGTCGATTCCATAAGTACTATATTGTTCTAATCCTAACCCTAATTATAACATGGGTTTCTTGGTTTTCATTTTAATACGTAACTTGTTACTTAGGCACCTGATCTTAAAGTTTGATTGGTCAAAATTACTGGGGATTAACCTAAAATTACGGACGTACGTTGTGAAAGGCCTGGGTCGCCACCCAAGTCATTTTTTTTTTTTTTTACGTTATTTTATGTTCTTTCTCTTTTCTCTTAGTATTCTATTATTTGTTTTTTCTTCTATAGCACCTTTTTCTTTCAAACTCAGTATAAATTATATTAGCCGATAGTATAGTCATAGTTATAGATCCAAAATTAGTAAGTAGAAGAAAATCCTTACCGTAAGGCTAGACCAATTTAATTCGGTGGTTTACGTCACCCCCCTCTATATGTGCAGAAAATTTCGGAAAACTTTTATTATATCGCGGATCATTTCGGAAAAAAATTTATAATAAACTCCCTCTAGCCCGTCCACCCCCCTCTTTTGTGAGAAGGATGTAACGTAAACCACCGAATTAAATTGGTCTCGCCTAATGGTAAAATTCACTTTAGTAGCTTTAGCGTTAGTGGATTTAGTGGATTTCGCGAATTTAGCGAATTTAGTGGATTTAGTCGCTTTAGTGGTTTTTGCGCTTTTCGAAACTTCTATAGAATTGTAGCTTAGTTAGATAATTTATATTGTACGATGTAAAAACTATAAAAGCGGTGTTTATCTGCCCTGAGAATAAAAAAAACTCAGTGAGTTCCAAACACATCTTGAAATAAAGGATAACCTTTGAGTCCCCAAAACCTTTAAAATTAGAGTAGAAGTGTTCGTCGATAAAACCTTAGTACCCTTGTTGTTAAGAAATCGTTTGTCGATTTCATACTTTCTTGACTCTGTGACTATCGTCCATTAAATTGTCGAATTTGGTAAAAGAAAGACTGTATTAGTAATACAAGTTCTTATATAATAAAATTGCCCCCTGATTAAGTTTGTGTGATTCGTGACATCTTCCCCAGCATCGCCAGAAAAATTTTTACAATCACATGAAATCGACAAATTTCTTTAATTTTGGTTACGTTAGGGTTCGAGCCTATTTTAGGGTTAGGGTTAGCTGTTCTAATAGTAAAATCGGTCAAGGAAAATTTTTTATTAATGCGTAGATGGTGGTTTGCTATATGAATTTTTGTGTATAAACGATTTTTTCTAAGCGAACGTTTGTTTTGAAATTTTCTGATCGCGTAACGTTACACTAAATCGTGGTTCATTATTGGCTTGATTTTGTTGATCATCACGTGACAGTAAAAATTACATAGTAATTTTTCTGGCGATCCTGGGTAGTTATTCGAGACTCTGTGATACCGTGACCCTGTACCACATTCCGATTGGCCAATTTCGATCACGGGATCTAGCCGCAGTACCTACGAAAAGAAGAATTTAAAGTATTAACGAAAGTGTTAAGAAAAGTAGAGTCCTTATTAAAGAAAGATCATAGCACACTTATCTAAGCTTAACACTACTTCTACTTATCCAATTCACCCTGGTTACTCGGACCAAGTCCTTCCACGCCTCAATCGTTGCCTTACCAATATTAAGGTTTGGTTTAAGTAGTTATAGTGTTTTAGTTAAAGTATATTAATTAGTGTTGGTATTTTATAGTAGTGAATTATTATTTACCGGCCCAGTAGATTTTCCGACGCAGCCCACAAGTTCATACTTTTACAACGTACGTACATCTGATGGAAAATTTTCATATCAGATACAGTATAGGCATAGCAGGAACTCGTAGTTTTACGGAAAATCACAGGTTATAACATTTTTATGTGATTGGCTAATTTATGTAAATCCATGCGTGACTATTAACCAATCAAATCAATTAAAATTTTTTCGATTCGCGAAATGAAGCGAAATAAATTTATTATTAACAAAAGCGAAGCTTTTTTTTTAAATCCAAAGTAATTCCAATCCATCTTTTAACAATTAAACTTTACTAAAAACATGTTGTCGTATGTTACTATCCTTTGACTATATAAATGTTCTTGGTTCAAGTAAATAAATCTTGTTTAAAACTTTATATCTCCTGGCCTATTTTAATAAATGCATAAAATCTTATATTAGTATAACACTCACGTTTTAACATTTTATAAATCTAAGATTCGGCTTAATAATTTAAACGTAGTAGAAACTCAATAAACTCTACCAATTACCAAACGTTTACCTTTATTCTTATGAAAATTCCGTGTGGAAAGCGATTGAAAACGATTCGAAAAGATTTTCTACTTGAAAACTCTAAATGAAGAAATTTTATTAATATTTCGGAGTCCATCGGATACGAGTTTTATGCTATGCTTTAACGCTGTCGTGACTGAAGTTGGCACCTGCCTAAAACAGCTAACTAATGCGTGCAGGATGATTTCAGGTGCAATTTCAGGCATCTGAAGTTCCAACTTTAGTCGGATGCCAACTTTAGTCGATATCTACATTAAATTCATTCAACACAGCATTATGCGAACTGACTAGAATTATGCTAGCTGGCCCGAATTACAAAAATTACACACTGCATGGTCGCTGTGTAGTTTTTGCAGTGGTCCATCTTTACAAATAATAAAGGTAATATGCACCCTAATTCACCGCTCAAGTTTTAATTGAAATATGTAAGTGTCATCTGCAAATTAAATTCCAAGATGTAACCAGTTTTCAAAAAATTTCATGTCTAAAAAAAGAAAAGAAAAATTCCTCGTAGGCTTCGATTTTAACACTGACTACAATCAACCTTGCGAAAATATGTATAACCTTTCTGGTTTATATGTAAAATTTTTAAAAGGGTTGATTTAAAAATTTCAGATAATTGATTGGTTTACAAAATTTGTAACATTCGATCTGCTTGACAAAGCTGTTATACTCAATAATGGATATAAATCTAAGTAATGCTTAACGCAAATAAAATGAAATGATAAACATGATATGATAGTAAGTATTTAATTAATTGATAGTTTTTTAACTAGCTTTTATTTGTGCAAAGAAAAATTGATATGTTTGAATACATTAAACTAACAATATATATACTAAAAACATGAGTCGCTTCATTAATAGATAGCTGTGAACAACTAATAATAACAGTAATATGATATAACTTTAACATATCCTTCTAGATCTTTCTCAATTTTTTCCAAACGACCCGTATATTTTGCTATCCTCACGATATTCAGGGTCTTTTTTCGGATACAAAATCTAATTATCGCATTGATTGTTTCATCTTCATTATTGGAAGGCATAGAAAGTGCGAGTATTTTTAAAGGTGAATCACAATGGTCAAGTAAAATATTAATGTGTGAGTCTAAATCCAACATTTTACTTAAATCAAGGTATTGTAATGTTGGTGGCAATATTTCTGCAAGTTGCTTAACATGGTCTTCCATTGTTTCTTTTTTTCCCGGTTCTGATTCATCATTTTCTCCCGGTTCCGATTTATCTTTTTCTCCCGGTTCCGACTTATCTTTTTTTCCCGGTTCCGATTCATCCAGTTCTCCCGTTTCCAATTCATCTTTTTCTCCCGGTTCCGATTCATCCAGTTCTCCCGTTTCCAATTCATCTTTGTCACCCGGTTCCAATTCATCTTTTTCATCCGGTTCCAATTCATCTTTTTCTCCCAGTTCCGATTCATCTTTTTCTCCAAGTTCCGATTCATCTTTT